TCTTGACGTGCTACACGACATGGTAAGACGTGCATTACTCTTTACTACAGAATAAATTTCTTGTAACTTTAATTCTTCATTTCGACACTTTCCGACTGTCTAACATTTAAGGCAAAAAATACTGTCTACAATACAAAATAACATACATACATAAGTAAAATTTCACGTTTTAGCCGAAACTACTTCTGGCAATTATTAGATGTTTCGGTAATTTGAATTAGCAAGATAAATGCAAAACACTCGCGACACAGAAAGGAAAAATTACATGGGGTCATGTTTAAATAAATGAAATGACACTTTTTGATGAAGATGGCAGATTATCATATCTTTTAATCAATATTTGTAAGGATTTAACACATGGTATGGGGAACAGGTGGCATCAGCCGCAAAGCGCAGGAGATCTGCCCGCTACACCTGCGCTGAGCGCAGCGCCAGGGGAGTCCGCTCGATCGCAGAAGCCCACGTCAATAAATGTTTTTCAGAACTTGCATGAGTTCGCCAGTGCAATAAGAAGACTTTTTTAAATGTCAAGTCATGTTATGCAACACAGAGTGACTTAAATGAAGAACACGAGCGTATTTAGAGAGCACTTGCGTCAGTATTTGTTGTTGAAGAGACCTAAGAGAGACTGAGTGGCGGCGTAGCTGGAGCCGGCGATGCGCCTCTTGCACCACGGCTATCGATTCCTAACTCTCTCAATCAATATGGCCTCCACTACACCAGCTCTCTTCTCTGCCTTCCTTGCTGCTGCTCATAATGCTAAAGCTCTAGCAGCAGTTTTGCTTGCTCTCTTCTCTTGTTTTTCTATGCTCTCTAAAAAGAGAGCGCTCATTTGAGCGACTTCATTCCAGATCTCAGACTTGAATTCGCTGGTAATTTATTGAAGGCAGGATTGACGATTTTTTGACTGAGCCTCGGCTTTCACTAAGACCACTGAATGCTTCCCACGGTAGACCAGTTATTCAATTAAAATTCCATTCATAAACGCTAGAGTTAACCTTCCCAAGATGATATTACAATGTTGAAAGTTCTATAGGTACATAGTTAGGTATTATAATTATTCATGATCGTCAGGTATTTTAAGGTTCATTATAAGCAGCTTTTAAATTAATGTTAAGGTTCTTTGAATTCATATACTAAAACATTTTATTTGTAAAAATGCTCGAAAATTTATAACTCAGAGTCTAAAAATATTCTCCAGATTAAATAAAAGATAATTCCATGCGCCAAACAACAGCTTGTACATGACCAAGTTCTTGGCACGTAATACTTGATACAATATTCTTAATCCGTCATCTGATCTCACTTCGACTGGTCCACCAAACCTGCCAAATGAAAACTCAGAAAGTAAATTAGAAATCAGTGCGATAACCAACGTAATAATGCTACATCCAATAACTGTTTGACTGTTAGTGTAACTGTTTTAACACTGCCGAAATTATTAAAATTTCCTGATTTTAATGTAGGACCCGTGCAAGCGGCCCGTTTGGTGAACGTAATAATTTAATTAAAGCTATATTTTAAACAACTCAATCACAGTTTATCGCAGTTTATCTAAAATTCGGCCACGAGATTGAAATTATTGATCATCGATTAGTAAAATAAAATTACTACGTGGCTAATACAAGCTGTACTACTTGGCTAAATACAAGCTGCGGCTACAAAATCTAGCCAAGGTTACGTAAAATTTCAATGATTTCGATGATTCCAAATGATTTCAATGGGAAATGGTAAATTTTCATGAAATTTTCCTTGATTTTAAATTCGTGTAAAATTGGTGATAAAAACATTATAATTAAACACATACCGTTCAAAGTAAGTTTGTATTAAAAATTTTCCGTTGAGCTTTAACCTTTCTAACTTTTAATTTTCAGTTACGCGTGACACTCTCACGAGTGATCGTCCTGCAGCTACACGTATAGGTATATATAACCAGAGCAGGGCAGCGCTACTTGGAAATGTAGCGGCGCTACCGCTACCGCTACATGCTCTAAATGTAGCGGGCGCTACCGCTACCGCTACACCCACTAGATTGTAACGGGCGCTACCGCTACCGCTACAGTAAAATGTAGCGCGCTACATTAGCCGCTACAATGGCCAAAATTATTGGAAATCTCTAAATATTTATTGTTCTGCTATTGGGATTTACACATAAACATTTAATGATAATAAAACATTTTTAAAACGTATCAATGCAACTTTATTGCAATTAACCTAACCGAACTAGTATGGGTTACCCCAGGATTAGATACAGTAAATAAAAGTTACAGTTATTTTTATGTTTTACCTTCCCTACATGGATGTCTACTTTAATTTACCAATCTAAAAAATTATCCGCATATACATATAAAAATCAGTCTTTTTTTGTATATATATGTCGATTATTTTTGAGATTGGTAGATTAAAGTAGACATCCATGTAGGGAAGGTGAAATTACAAAATAACTGTGTAAAAATAATTGTAAGCAAACTGAAAGATGAAAAAAACCTGTAAGTGGTAATGGTAACAACTTAACAAGTAACAACTAACATGTTGACACTATAACAGGCTAAGGTTGACAACATTACACCGATATCTTTCGTACAGTTTTATTCTGTAATTTATATTATGTATGTATCATGCTGGTTTTTAAATAATATTTAATACTATTAAGGGGAACGGCTACCCTAAAAATTGGAAATTTTGGCTTTACCGTTTTCTTGACTCATTTTGTAGCTGCTGAAAAGGCGCGTCTAACGCAGTTTACCACATGTCTGTGCGTGCTATAATTTTTGCGTAAGACAATTTTAAAAATATATATATGAACATTTTTTAGCAATATGTACAAAGATTTATTTGAATTAAATCTGTATATATAGATCATTACTCTCGTTAATTACAAAGTGAGTAGCGGCAAAACCTCGTATCGCTACTTAAATTTGTAGCGGGCGCTACCGCTACCGCTACATTGCCTTAAATGTAGAGCCGCTACCGCTACCGCTCCTGAAAATGTAGCGGCCGCTACATGTAGCGCGCTACTGCCCACCTCTGTATATAACAGGCAGACAACCAACTTGACTGCATGTATATTTAGAGCCATCCAAATGACGCCCATGATAACGTTAGATTAACACGTTAAGTGCGGCTATGTCGTATTTTAGCAGTATTTCATATCGTCACGATCAACCGGTAGGTTATACCGCACTTAATGTGTTAATTACGACCGTGATTTGAAAGTACACTCGCTGTACTTGCTGTTGCTATGTCTAAACGATATAATATAACTTATGATCTTAGAAAGAATAACATTTAATTGTATAGGTCAAAGTTCGCGAAACAATAATATTTGAACAATGCTCATATGATTTAATATTAATCGAAAGTTATTCTCAAATATCTTATGTATATGATTTCACAGATTATTGCTCAACGAAACATATGATGAATATCTCGCAATTTGGAAGTGCATTTGATCTCCAAATACATTTTAATGTCAATATTTCCCGGCTGACTTTTTTGTTTGATGTCTGGAGATTGAATGATAAAAGAGGTATTTGTTTATTCAATACAAATGACGACCGAAAAATTTAGACGTAAGTCTATTTGAATTGGATGTTTGTCAACTCGGCATGACGATAAAATTTTCCATTTGGATGCGATCACGGCTGAGGTACGATTGTTGAACTCGATCTGTATACTTTCACAATATTCCTAGGCGACGGTCGACTCTCCTCATCTGCCGAACGTGTATTTAAGCTATCTTTTCCGATTACTATAACATTACCATGCCAAGTAAAATGCGTAGCCGCAAAAATGTCTACCAGTGTCTTAAGTTCAAAAAAATTTCTGCATTTATTTTTATAGAGTACATGTAAATAACCAAAAATGTAAACTCGGTTTTGACTGGCCAAAAATTACGAAATTTTCAATGGATTGTTGTACGAAAATTTCGTCGTACATTGAAAGTCGTGCGAAATTTCAATGGATTGAGTTTGTGAAGAATATTTTAAACGTTCGTATTGCTTCTTATACTTCACGTTGAGAAGGAAATCCATCTCATCCAGTTTACAGGATAAGAATTTTGATTTAATGTATGGTCAAAACTAAAATTTCCAATACTTTATGCGACAATAGACGTAATTTTATGCGACAATAGTCCCCTCCTAATTACAATAATTGCTGAAAGTCTATTATGTATAGCTAACATAAATGTATGTATGTCAACATTTAAGGATTTTCAACAAATACATATTTCATTGTTGACAAAACGGCCAAGCAGTGTGTTCATTTGGAATACTGTGTTCTAAACGCATGTAATATATAAAAACAATATTAAATTATTAATGAAATAATGATAATAATAATAGCTCTCTCTCGTATTATAATAATTATTATTATTATCATTATTATTATTATTATTATTATTATTATTATTATTATTAACATTATTATTATTATTGCTATTAATATAACTATTGAACAAACAGCTGAATACGAATTGTTTTGCTGGCTTAGACTCTTAAGCCCGACCTGTTTAAAGAAGTGTTGTTAAATTATTAATTATAATTAGGTAATTATGATACTAAACATATCGAGAGATATATCTTAATTTCAATGTTAGATTAAGATTACGATTGCACAGTTTCGGAGCTTCGTTCCTAATTATTTGATTTGTTTACCCAAAAAATAAAGTTTTCTACGTTAAGAAAAAGTATCACAAAGAAAACGTTGCCAACGTAACGTGTATATTTTTTCCACTTGCATGGAAGCCTGGGCATTTTTTTAAAACCTAGTATCAGTTGACGTGTTCAGAATCTCTGATTGTTTTTTCATTGGCATTGCAATAATATGAATATATGTCAACGAATATTTTGCAAATAAATTTTTTCACATACCATTAGAGAAATAATGGATGCTATCATTTTTCACCTGCGGAATCCTTCGCTCGGTTGGTGCTTAGTATTTAAATTGGAAGGGTTCCAAATTTCAAAGTTTTTAAAAATTTTTTTATACCAACAGGGAAAAGAAGTTGGACCATTTCTTCAAAAGGCAAGAAGCCTAACTCCAGGCGGCCAAAGTGAGTTTACTAGAATTAAGGAGCCATGACCTGCAGTTATTGGGTATAATGATAATAATAATAATAATAATAATGATAATAATAATAATAATAATAATAAGAATAGAACTCACATTTACCGCCCTAGCCTTTTAATCATGTAAAGAAAAAAAGATCCCGATAAAAGTGTATTTTCAATTGGAAAATAGAATAAGTAACTTATGAAGAATTCGTATTTCTATAGAGTCACTTTCTGGTCACTCTCCATCATGAGACAGAAAAACGTCGATTTTCAAATGATCCTTTCATAATATAAGCATATCAGTCTCACAGATGAAAAAGGTCATTTGTCATTAGATTCTGTATTAATTGTACAATTCATTCTGAATGTAGTCGTGAAGGTATGTCGTACAGCGGTTGCCTCGATATTCTTCGACCGCGTTTAGCTCGCGTTCGACTTAATTAGAAATCTTATCTTGTCTTCCAGATGAAGCAACCTAATTCTCGTTGTTCTTAATTCTTCTTGTTGAAAGAATCTATTCCAAGACTCATATATGTCTTAAATAATCATTGTGTGTTCATAAGCAAATTTTGTTAAGTCAAAATTTGATTAATCAACCTCGTCGGTCAGATGGTTTTAATCTAGGGAACCCGTTCGAAATGTTTCAATATTATTAATGAATCAAGCCACATCGAATAAAGGTCGACATTTTCACTCACGTCGATCAAGGTCAAGTCTGTAATAATCGCAGTTGTGTGTGCTTCACAAATCCGACACGTTTGGAGGACCTTGTCTTTGGGGCTATCTCTTCTTACGAGTGCATTTCCACCAGGTTCAAGAGAAAGTGTTCGGGGCAATGATTTTGAACAGCACCTTGCTTCAGCATCTCATTTTTAAGTAATAATCGTTTCATTTTTCATCAGAGCAATATTACCTTTCACTTATTGTGAATTTTCATATCTCTTAGCAATTTACCAACAAATTTCCGAACTTTTCTTCCTATCATGATTCTGCTATTTTCCTTCTTTAAATTCAGTTTTGCCATACTTACCTATGTGTGAAATATATTCTTCATTTATACATGTTCTATCTCCATCATTCAGACCATCCCCTCTTAATAATCAGTGGTTTTCCCTTTTCTCATTCAAAAGTTCAATTTTTAGTCAAGGGTATATTTTTTCCTCGAGTTGTTTTACTCCTCCGTATTTTCTTTTGTATTGACGTGCACTGCACGAGTTGCCAGCCAAAGAACTGATCATACGTAGAGAGGGTCGGAGGTATTCCCGAGCCTCGGGAGTGCTGACGCTGCAACTTACCGAGGCCTAAAGCAGGCCTATACACCACACCGTCATCAGACTCTCATACGGACCGTGTCCTACAATATGGGGAAATTAGAGCCGTACAAGCGTCGTCCCAAAGTTGGCCATTCAAAATTGGCCACCTTGGTAGCAATGATAATTTTAAGTAAGTAAGACTAATTCTCATAGTACAGAGATCAATTTCAGCTCGTCGTGTCATTGAAGGTTGTAAATTAAATGGTTCTTTACTGCTTAAACATTTTCATGCGGCAATAATTGTATGATACTTTTTTGTTACCATTTGATTCACAATATCGGTGCTGACTGTGTTTGGGTTGACGTGATGGTGATTAAATCGTTTGCGTCGTCACACAGACGGCTAAATAATAATGAAGATGTAGTCTAAATGATTATAGTCCTACGCCTCGTCCTTCAGCAACAGAGCAGGAAGCTCCGAGCTGGTATGTTTTTCAATATATTTTTTCCCGGTTATAAATAATAATATAGGTTTTTTTATTTATTCACGGTGTAACTAGATTGATCTTTGAAACACTCATTAACAAGCTCCAGACATAACCACTGGCCAATGACCTTATATCGCCACCGAATCTGTTCATGTGTAGCGAACGCTCATCGCCAGGAATTGATCCAGCAATTGTGGCTCATCCAATAGCATGGATCGACTTTCCAATGGAAGCATGTGCTCGGCGAACGTTCCAATGCACGGACTATTTCTGTTTGTGTTTTGCTATGATTAACGGTTCCTATTGTTAACGGATTGATGGAAACTTATGCTGAATTTTGTGTTCAATGATTATGGCTGTTATCGGTTAGATGTGTGAAGGCTTTTTTTGTCGGGATCACGTGGATTAAAATGGTGATCAGGTTGTATGCTGTACTGAATCACAATGATGAGATCAGGAAAAAACTAAGAAGAACTTGTAACTGCGATCCGAAAATTGAAACGGGCATAAAATATGTTATATTTAAGGAGCCACAGCATTCGCAGGAAGTCACACTAAAGTGCCTTGGTTAGAGTGACTCACCTTTACCAGATTAAATCTCTTGAATAATATACATATGTCAGGCTAATGGTGCTGCTTTTTTTACATCCAGCTTTTTATTAAATTATATTGTGCCTTCATAGAATCATGCCTGAATTTCATCGACTAGTACTTGAAAATTCGCCGCTATTTATTTACAAATATAAAATGGAATTAAACATATAGAACACCTCATACGAACATCATAGAATGAAAATTAAGTGATAACTAGTTAAATTTGGGGTATATTTAATGAAAATATTTTGCAAGAAATATACCATTTTAAATGGGTGTCGGGAAGAAGAGCGGAACATTTACCGTGGTCGATGTCGTGCGGATTGTTTCCGGCGCAGCAGAATTTCCCCCGCAGGTTTTACTGCGTCACTTCGACAGTTGCGGTGGGCGTCGTAAATGCGGCCGAGCCTGCCACGACCAGCGTAGCAACGATGCACTCGCACGCTATCCTTATCTTCGCATCCATCGCAAGAAAATTTCTATAACATTAATCTATAACTTTCTGATGAATTTCATTATCAAGTTCACTGTAAAGTGCCCGTGTACAGTGCAATGAATGAGTTACAATTCAACCATCAGACTCTTTATCGAATAGGCTAAGTTGCTTGGATCTATTAGAAACCTATCATTTGTAGTTGAGATTTGTAGCATTTGCGATAGCGTTTTCTGTTTTTACATTGATCGTTTCTTATTGTTTATCTTCTATGTCAGAATTCCCAAGTTGAATTTTACTTGCGTTTATCGCGTCATTATCCGTCCCTAAGTGGTTGCTCATGTTCTTTTCTATTTTCAGATTGTTCTCGTTCTTTTCTTTTTACTTCACCTATATGTATATTTTCAGCTCGTTTTCCTGTGTCTATTCTTCGTATTCCGTTACTTTATAGATAATATTTCTTTTTCCTTAGAATATAACTTTTATAATTCATATCTTCCTGATTCACACTAAAATTCTCTATAAATTTATCTTATATTGTGAAGACATGTAAGAAAAAGATGTACCTCGTTGCACTTGCACACTTCTTGGAAGGAACTTCATCGCAGTCGTTCCGGCCTTTCGTGTCCGTGGCGGCGCTTCGATCGAACCTGATTACAGGAATTGAAGGAATCTCATCTGGCGAAGCGCTTGCATCAGCACTTTATTCAATATCATGACGTCCAACCTCCGGGAGATGCCGTATGGACTAATACTTGATGTACCTCTTACTGCCACCGCCCTCGTTCTTTTGCAGTAACTGCGACCTGGGCATGGCTGTATCTGACGTGAAGTCATATATCAAATGCATCCCAGCTTATATAATTTTAGAGCTGTTCCAATCCGTACAATTGTATAACATAGAATTTGACAGCTGCGAAATTATTCCGTTCAATTGTCCTTTCGCCTCTTGGTTCACAAAATTCAAATCCTTTGATGAGATAATTATATACAAAGGTCATCATGCTTTTGAATTAGCAATATTTTTATCTATCATAAATGAAAAATAATCCTCCTACGGGTTCTTATCTCTAGCGTGCCGTCCGCAGCTATTGGAATCTAAATTTGTGGGCCTGTGACGGTAACGTGCAATGATCAGTCGTACATGTTTCAAGTTTGTGACGTCATAAACCACAGTTTGTTATAATGTCTTGGATTCTACCTTATCAGTTCATGATAAGCAGCCACTTCAGCAGCACTGCTGGCACTGTAGGTTACTGGTGAATGTGCCAATCCTAAAAATACTGTGCAGGTAAATATTTCCTTGCACTGCATCAGGATAACTAGCAATGTGGTTACTTTGCTCAAAAAATAATATTTAACCGCAAATCATGATTGTCTATAATTTACCAAGTCCCGCGGTACCGATCGCTTTTAACTTACAGTAGTACAATTAAATAAAAATAAAAAGAACTACGCTGAAAAAGACGCGACGTCTGACCGTTCTCGCTGGTGAGCTTTCCAATAAGGCTGAAATGCATTGCTAGAATTGGCATTATTGTTGCGAAGATTTTTCCTCTTGCCCGTAAGATTTATCGGCGCGTCAGCATCAGGACTATTACTCTGGAGCGCACATTTGAAAACACGCGTCTCCTTTCGTGCGCATTAAGAAGAGAGCAAAGAGCGAAGAAGACAGTCTCAAGAGGTAATAGATTTCTCAATTGCAACTCCTGCTGACTCGGCACTTCCCAGCATCGGTGTTTCTTAGTCGTATCAAGAGAACGGAGCCACCTTAAGAGCGACTCAAGATCCCGCGCCAGACTCAAGACTTCGGTGTACACTATACGTCTAATTATTTGCGTCTGTCAATTAGTAACCAAAGTAATGCTAAAAAATCAATTGTAATATTCTGTTCATGTTAAAATGTTCAGAATATTCAAATTTGCTGGAACAGGCGAGGACTACAAGAACTTCTCTGCTTTGAGATTCGTGAAACTTTGCGGAATAAAGAGTTTTAGTGATATTCTAAAATTTTAATATTTTAGTTATAATGAACTCAGGACGAGATCATTTAAATAGTTCACGTGAATATCAACGTCTAGTCAAGAAATTCCATCCCTGGATTTTCTCCCACACAGCCATAAGATTGCGAACATCTCGACGCTGGAGTGGGGAAAAACCTTCACTCGCGTGTCTCGAATTTATTTAGTCCTTGAAAGGGAAGTGTGCGCCGCATGTCCTGCGATGATTAA